CATGCAAAAAAAATGAAAAATCTTAGATTTAAACTTTTTTGGCGGGGTTTCAAAGGCATGGTCGTTTTTGTGAAATTTATGCCTTGTTATTCAGCAATATTGCAACTCCCATCTACAAGATTTCGATAAAAGGATAAGAAAATCTGCATTCATGTCTCAACAAGATGCAGCCCTTCATAGACCCGGACCCTAACCCGAAATGAGAGCAGATGTGGCCCTACATTTTTTTGAGGTCAGAGGTGCTCTTTCATTATCTAAGAAACTCAAAAATGAGAGCTTGCTTTGCTTCGGTGGCAGATAATATTTTTAATCTTTGGACTGATAATGTTACTAATGGAAGAAGTGTAGACTGAAATCCGTATCTTTTTTAAATGAAAAAAACATGCAAACCACAAATGAATTAGTTTAACTGACATGCAGATCACGCATGAATTAATTAGTTTAACTACCTCCCAGTCTGGATGAATAGGAGGTGAGGTGATCGTTTTCCAAAATGGATGGCCGGCGCAAAAAGTCAACAACAACTCCCTTTTATGCAGTATAGTTGACGTGTGAACAACTCAGCCCATGTGAAGCTAGATTTAATCAAGGGTCGACCAAGGGCGTGGGAGATTCAGCGGCCAATATTACATGCCATAGTTCTAGCAAGTGCTCTTTGTCACACCAGAGTTTGTCGTGAGAGGAGGCAGATGTCCAAACACGGTGCGTGGAGATTGCCTAAGCCTACGCCAGCAAAGGTATCGTCGCTGATGGGGCAGGCGCGCACCGGCGGCCCTCCATAGTCATCAAGCTTGGCGGCGTCATCTGCCTTTGCTTACATGGAGGAAGCCAAGGCTCGTGTCGGTATTGTTTGGCGCACTGTGGCATGCCTCCCGATTGCTGGGGAAGTTGTGTATGGTGGAATGGCGACCTACCCATTCGTTAGGGTCTCTTTGGCCTAGCCCCGAGTACTAGCTGAGATTTTTCGATAAAGGACAGATACAAAATATAAAGAGCGACATCTGGCCTCTGCATAGTTAAGATGCACACAGCCATCAAACAAACACTCTGACAAAAAATATAAAAACGACAAAGTATTAACAGAAAAGCCATATGGGGCCGAAACTATGCCTATGTCGACGGAGAAGGTGGACCGATTCAGAGATTATGCTGTCACCCATGTTGGGTAAAAACCTCCCTGACCACCCGCTCCAACCGCATACACACCGCCTTGAACAACGATTGGTACTCCGTTCGGTGCAGAGTAGACCACATACGAAGCCAGTGCGTACAATGATAAATAACCTACATAGGAGAAGAGATTTTGCCATTAAAAACACAATCATTTCTACATAGCCAAAGCGACCATAGTAAGACAGACGCTCCCACCCGTATTAGCGTACTAAAAGTATTTGGTATTCCATCAAGCCAGTGATCATATATATTGATAACACTTGTTGGTGGATACAAATTTGACGCTATTTGGATAATTGACCATGTAGAACGCGCAAACTTGCATTGAAAGAAGAGATGTTTGATTGTCTCGTCATGAGTACAAAAACTACATTTCTTGCTTCCTTTCTAGTTGCGTCGAGCGAGGCTGTCAGCTTTCAGCTTTTGAGCAAATGTCAGGCTTAAAAATCAACTTCCATAAACGTGAATTGTTCTGTTTTGGAAAAGCCAAGGAGACGGCTGAACATTATGCTGACTTGTTTGGATGTGCACAAGGCCAATTCCCGATTAAATATTTGGGAATTCCGATTCATTATCGGTGTCTCACTAATGCGGAGTGGAAACATGTTGAAGAGCGATTGGAGAAACGGTTGAGCAGTTGGAAAGGAAATTTGCTCTCCGTTGGAGGACGACTAGTTTTGATCAATTATGTCCTCACCAACATGGTTCTCTACATGCTCTCATTTTTTCAACTACCCAAAGGGGTTCTGCAAAGACTGGATTACTTCAGTCCCGATTCTTTTGGCAAGGAGACAGTGAAAAGAAAAAGTATACACTAACCAAATGGAGCATCGTTTGCCGACCGAAAGACCAAGGAGGCTTAGGTGTTCAGGATCTCTAGGTCAAGAATGATGCCTTACTCAGTAAATGGTTGTTCAAACTTCTTACTGAGGATGGTGTTTGGCAAACTATGCTATGCAACAAGTATTTAGGCCAAAAGGCGTTATCCCAGGCTTAGTGGAAGCCCGGTGACTCGCATTTTTGGGTTGGTCTGATGGCGGTAAAGAAACATCTTTTCCGTTTCGGATCCTTCGCGATAAAGGACGGTTCGGAGATACGCTTATGGGAGGACAAGTGGCTAGGAAATACCACTCTCCAAGAACAGTACCCAGCCTTGTACCGCATTGTACGCGATAAGAACGATACTCTTGCGCATGTGATGACCACTTCTCCGCCAGATATATCATTTCAGAGGGATTTGGTTGGGCCCCATCTTGTGTCATGGCAACATCTTCTATCCCGTTTGAATTCGATTAACTTGACACAAGCGCGGGATGTCTTTCGCTGAAATCTTACTACATCTGGATCCTTCACAGTTGACTCTATGTATCGTGCACTATCGCACACAGAGATTCCAGTGGCCAATAATAAACAAATCTGGAAATCGAAGATGCCACTAAAAGTTAAAGATTTTCATGTCGTATCTTCGGAGAGGAGTTGAGCTGAGATGATTACACACAGATCCGTTTTTGAAGTGATGATTGTTTTGTTCATCTCTTTGTAATGATTCGGCTGTGTTTTTATTTTATACTCTAATTAATAACAATAACAATGATTGTGTGCATCATCATAATGAAGAGGCTGCAGTATGAACTTTCTTTTCAAAACAATAAAATATCTAGGCCCTAGGCCCTTCTGGTGAAAGAGCGGACAAGGGACAGCCTCCTGGCCACCTAAACGGACTAAAAGGTTGAATCCTTGGAGTTGTCCTTAGAGCATCTATAGTCAGACGTCTTAAACCAGTTTCAAATGTCCGAATATTGATCGGTTAAAAGAACTCGACCCACTTGGATGACTCAAACCGGCCTCAAATGCTCGGGCTGATCCCCTCATATTTAGCCAAATCTAGGGCGGCCCGAGTGCGCCTGTCATGTCGGACTGACGATCAGATCCCACACAATATCGTTCGGAAACACAACGGTCCGATGAGCATATCCTTCGGAAGGGTGTGACCGTGTGGCGCTACTCTGGCTCGCCGCCTGAGGCAAACGTCTGACTATTTAACACGAACGGCAACCCCCAGCCCTAGCCCTAGCCACATCCGCTTCCTCCCTCTCTGCGGCACCAGCCCGAGACACATCCACTTATGTCCCTCTCTGCTTGCCGTCCGCGATAGCCATGATCAGGCAGAGGGTGACCACGTACGTTATGTTGACGCTGGACTGGCGCCTCCAGCTGCTCGAGGAGATACGGGCTATACGTGCCGCCCGGACATCTCCGACGATAATGAGTAGTGCAGGCTAGTATTTTTTTTTTTGCATTTTTGTATGAATTTAAGATTTGAAATATGAAGTGTTTGGATGCAGAGAAGGAAACCATTTGAGGGGTCCAATTTGGTGTCGGGGGTGGTAGATGCTTTTACGCGTTGGTGCTTAATTTGCGCGTATGCACTGGTGGAGGCCTCCGATGGGCATGGTATGGCACCCGCCATACCTTGATTCTGAGAAAAATAAAATGTATGCTTATGTATGTTACGGCTGCCTCGCTAGTTGGTTTTGACCGCTGGCATTTTACGCTAAAAGAAGAGATAGGTCGATGCATCCAGCTAGTTGGACCAGGAATTGATTGAGCGCCCACGCACAAGGCAGCAAACAATCGAGGTTCCCTAAAAAAAGCAAACGGTCGAGGCGTCGAGCCAAGCTCTGCTATGCTTGATTAGGGTCGCCACTTATGGCTTATCCACCCTTAAAAAGATACTTGTGGCTTATCCATCCTCGTGACCCATATCCTATATTTCATTGAACATTTTTATGGATTAACAAAGTGTTGGCAAATTTAAAAAAAACAACCGATCGAGACGTCAAGCTAGGTCGAGAACGCACAACCCAATCGAGACGCACATGCACGTCTCCACCAACTTTTAACTCCACCCGATGGCCGACGCGACGAACCCTAACTAGCGCGACAAGCCAACGCGGCAGCAGCGCTAGTGGCAACTCCTGCCGAGGCAGGTGACCGCGACGGGGTAGGAGGTTTGGTTCATCAAATGAAGATTTTTTTGGTTCAACTTGAATAAGCTTGCTAGGTTCACAGAGATTTATTATGATGATTTCTCTGATTATGAATATGAACATATAGAAGATAACCTTAATCTATTCATTATCCATATGAGAAGAATTGAAGACTTTAAAGCTTGTCATGATATCGTGTCATGATATTGCAAGCCTAGCTAAATGCTGGTTGAACTTAAAAGGCATGTCATGTTTCCTACTGTTTATCGCCTATTGAGTTGGCATTTCTACTACCGTTAGCGATGACAACAGTTGAAAGAGTCTTCTCATCAATGAAAATCATCAAGACTGAGATGCACAGTAAGATGACCAATGGTTGTCTTAATGACTTGATTGTTGTTATATTGAGCGAGATATCTTCAAAAGTATTGATCGTGGTAAAATTAAGGAAGATTTTTAGAATGAGGGTAGGGCATTGTCATTGCGTGAGTCTTCTAGACGCCATTGAAAGCTTCATTATCTGTATGTTTTAGGTTGTTTTCCTATTGAAACATGCCTACATTTTTATTGTGTTTGATTTTTCGTTGTAATGTGTATTGGCTCTTTCGATTTGCATCAAAAGAATTCTTTCCTTAAGACTTTGCCACACCTTTTTTTTTCATCCTCCTCCTCTGCGTACGCTGTTGGTCGTTTGATCAGATCTCTGTTTACTACGTACGCCTCGTCCATCCTGTAACGTGCCATGAGGTGGGCGATGTGCAGGGTCCTCCCATTCCCAAACAAGTCGCTCATGGTTGAAACATGCAAGTATAAAGCTGGAGCATCCATTCATCCAGCATGTACCACTACCATACCACCACAGCCCCACCCATCACCCATCACCCACAGTCCAACACAGAAAAAAGAGACACGGATCGAGATCCGATAAGCGAGCAGGACAAGGCCTGCTTGCACGAGATCCGGGAGCTGTCCTACGACATCGACGACGACCTCGACGACTTCATGGAGGCTACCGTCTGCGAAAAATCCGCCGATCTGGCCGGACTCTTGGACAAGATGAAGGCCATGCTGGGCCGGACCAAGGCTCGTCACCAGATCGCCAAGGCCGTCGATGATCTCAAGGAACAGGTGGTCCAGGTCGCCGAGAGGCACAACCACAAGAGGTCCAAGGTTGATCCCAGGGCTCCAGCCATCGTCGACGACGCGTCCAAGCTCGTCGGCCTTGACGGGCCCAAACAAGAGCTCATCCAACTACTACTGGCCGGTTCTGCTTCTGAGTCAACGCAACAGCAACCACACCCAGAGGGTCAGTAGGAACGGGCAAGACAACTCTGGCGAGTCAAGTGTACCAACAGCTCAAAGGCCAATTCCGTTGCCCTGCTTTCTGCTCCGTGCCACGAAATGCAGACAAGGTCCTAGTTATGCGCGCCATTTACAATCAACTGAAACGTCCATATTCTCCTTCTCCTGGCGTCAAGGATTTACCACAGCTTGTCGCCATGATTTCAGACTTGCTCCAAGACAGACTGTATATATGGCTTTAAAATTTGAACGCTTTGCTTACCTGAAAATTCATGCAGACTACATATCCTGTATTAATTTTGGACCGTTATTAATTTAATTCACTAGTATGCGCCCAAGTATTTAGGTGTAGACGTACGGTTTTGATATTTCTCATGTAACGTGTAAATTTTGATAACAATAATTGTGGATTATCCTAAATTCAGATCAAAATTCTGAAATAAAAATATGCGGTATTATAATTTTTTATTATAATGTTAATGAGCTGAAATCTCTACTTACCTAGAAATGCCTCACTCAGGGTCGAAAAGTGCAAGCAGCAACTGAGCTTCATAGAGCTCTTTATTTTTCTTTCAACGGAAATACTTTTTCACACTTCAAAAATAGCTGAAAAAAGTATACGCATTGACATTTGTAGTATACATGTGTAAAATTTTATAAACATATATGTTAATATGTGATGTATACAAAAAAGACAAATACATGGAGTAAAATATGCCTTTTCCTTTTTGTTTTTGGGACTGATATTTGTCTTTTTTGTGTAGCTTGCAAATAGTCAAATTAGTTGATGAAATTGTATACATATTTGAAGAAGATGCTTATGTATTTATAGAAAAAGATTTGACAATTTTTGAAACTTTTAAATATCTTTTGATTTTTCTTTTTTTGCAAAACAGGCTCCATGCAGCCTGGCCTCTGCAACGCCATACTCCACTCAGGGTTCCCTATTTCACCACATAGTGTTTTGCTTGCCCTTTCGTCCAACATCTTTACCCCCCTTCCCCTCTTCCCTTTTGATTGTTTTTCTCCCATTTCTATTTTTTCTCATCGGTTTTCTTGAAAAGACGCCTCAACCGCCCCATGCATTTTCCTAATAGAACAACATTACTTATGCGTCTGTTACGCTTAGCTAGGATGTCCCTTGTTAACATCAGAGCATCTACAATAAGGATCACCTAATTTGGAGCCCTTATACCCCCGCTGGTGTGCCCGGCCGTGTCCGCTAGCACTGCCTGGATAGTACCCAAAATTTCCCCTCCACAACCACAAACCACAAATGCGAATAACCTCTTTCATACAAACACATGCATAGGACGTAGATCATAGACATAGAATAAAAGTTTGGCAGTTGCCGACATCGGACATGCAATTTGTTCATCCAAAGGGGCCACGCTAGTTCAAATTAAACCTCAATCGAACATAAAAACAACTAAAATATAAAAAGGTATGGAGGGCGGCCGGAGTTCACCACTTCTTGGCCGGGCCTTGCCCTTGCGGTCGGCGGTGCGGCGGCCCATCTCCTCCTTGTACGCATCGGCAGCGGGAGGGTCGTCGTCATCGTCCGTGGTGGTGTGGCTCTCCGATGCATACGAAATGTACTCAGAGAGAAGGTGGAGGAGGCACTACTGCTCCTTCGCGTGGCCGGCAACCTTGGTGGCGGCGGTCTCCTTCTCCTGGGCGAGGCGCTCGGACGCCTCGAGACCAAAGTGGAGCGCTTTCGCTTTCTTGCGCCAGAGGCGCCGCGCGTCGGCCTCTGTCATGGTCAGTGACCTCCGCATGACCCCACGGAGGAGCGCCTCCTTCGGATCCACTGGCACGGAGCGTGCGCTCTGTCAAGACAAGCCGGGCTCTACCGCAGCCGCCGCCCGCTGCCGCTCGCGTCGGGGGGCTTCGCCTCCGACTCCGTCATGCGCATGCGCACCGGAGCCACAGGCACGAGCACCCATTGCTACTCGGGTGGTGCGCGCGTCGAAGGGGAAGGGGAGACGACCGCGGGCCGGATCTGAAGCAAGGCAAAGCCGGAAGGGCGACTGTGTCCCGCATTCCTGTGGCAGGAGGTGGAAGAGCTAGCGGTGGATGCGAGGGAGCTCGAGCTACCGCCGGTGTCCACGTGTGAGCGCTCGATGGCGATGCGGAGCGCAGCTCCTCGTCGTCCGGCGTGTCGGACCTAGATTTGGCGTCTTTCACGAGCATGTCCCAGTCGATGGGATTGGGTTCACTGCCGGAGCGCTCACCGGAGTTGGCCATGGCGGAGGGGAGGGTAGGATTTGAGAGAAGTGAAGGAGCCGAGGAGAGCGGAGAAGACGAGTGTGGACTGAGGTGGAACTAGGGTTCGTCGGATGGGATGGGGTTTTTGTGGGGGTGGCGCGGGCCCTAGAGGACTGATCCGACATGGCGCCCGCATCCAGGCGTCCCATATCCACCCCATATATGGGCCGAATATGGGGGTTGCCAGCCAGTCCGGACGTTTGGGTTGGATTTGGGGCGCCCGATTGGGTGCCGCTTCTGCATTTGATCACTGACCAGGCAGCCCGTCCGAGTGTTTGGGGCGGATATGGGTGTCCGGTTGTAGATGGTCTCGCCCCTCTTTCCGTAAATAACAAAGGGCAATTTTGATGTTTTAGAGGGAATTCTAGCATCCAAAGTATTTTAGTCTTTACCGGGCCATCAGTGTACATGTGCAAGATACATTTAGTGAACAGTGAATTGTCCATTCCAGTGCAAATTCTGCCGAAACTTCTCCTGGCCGTGTGACCAAACAAGTATATTCTCATGGACATTCGAACTCCTTTACTTCTTATTTTATCTCAGTAAGCTCAACCTTTATTTATATATTTTTGCAGGTACTTTATTGTACTTGATGATATATGGGATGTGGAAACATGGAAGGTTATTGAGTGTGCATTTCCCACAGGTTCTGGTGGTAAAATAATACTCCATGTGTTTGGTCATAATGTGAAGATCCCGTCTTTGTCGGAGTTTCGACTCTTGCGTGTTCTGGACTTTGAGGATTGTTCACAGTTAGAAGATGATCACCTTGCGGGCATTGGAAATTTGGTGCACCTCAAGTACTTGAGGTTCAAACATGCCAAAGCTGTAACGAAGATTCCAGACCAGGTGGCAAGGCTGCAACATTTGGAGATTGACGTGAATGGGTACAGCAAACTAATGGAAATCTCTATGCCCATCCAAGAACGGTTGGCCTGTTATGTAACTCTACATGTCGATGGTTATGAAACAGTACCAGATGAAATCGCGGCCATGCAGGGATTGAGAGTGTTGGAAGGTCTCAATATTTATACTTAGTCAACGGAATTTCTAAAGAGACTTGGCCAACTGAAAAAACTGAGGAAGCTGGGCATAATATGGAACATGTATGATATGGGTAATTGTGATGTTAATTACGACAAAGAGGAGGAGGAGATCGAGGAGGATGAGGAGGAGTTTCTCTCTTCGATATGTGAGCTCGGTAAAGCAGGCCTTGAGTCTCTGCACATCTTTGTAAAGGAGGCAGCGGATGAGTACTTCGAGCGTTCATGGTTTCCCGATCCTCAGTGTGGCCTTCGTGAGCTTATCATCGTGGGGGACTCCCTCTCGAAGGTTCCGACATGGGTGGCCTCTCTTGTCAACCTTGAGAAACTATGCATCTCAATGGACGTGATCAATGAGAGCGACGTGGAGATACTGAGAAGCTTGCCCAGCTTGCGCCATCTTCACATCCATGTGTATGAGGATGACGTAGAGTCGCGGGCTGCTATGGAGAAAGCAATGAAGGAACATCCTAACCGTCCCACCTTGGTTTGGTATGAGGATTAGCTTTGGGGTTTTTGGCTACCGTTCAGGTATCATTTTCTTCTTTTCCCTTCTAAACAATTATTAATTGTTGTCTTCTTTGTCACAAAAAATTCTTGTCTTATTTGTTTGGAATGTAATCCTTCTTCTTCTTTTTCCCTCGGTACAGTATCTATCATGTTGCAAAATAGATTTATATATTTTTCACATGCTAGCTGTTTTCATACACTTGTAGGTGTTAGCAAAAGGTGAGAGGAGCAAGCGAAACTGAAGTTTGTTATATATCCTCCGGTTGGTACCATTACTTTTAAATTTTCGTTTACGTTTCGGAAACATAAATAAAGGTTCATTATAAATTTCATCTTGTATCTTGAAATGTTGTGTCTGCTACTTGGAATAGCATTTTTGTAAGATCATATTTATTTGAACTGGCTATACTGTCAAAACTGTTGTGATGAGAAAAGTCGTGTGGGGAAAACTGTTGTTTGGCTACTTATTGGCTGGCCGTGTGACTATAAGCTGCCGGATTGTTTGAAATACCAAAGCTTTTGTTGTTTTGTTGATTTAAGTGTAAATAACACTCATCGTATGTATTAACATGAATGCATATGTATATTCACACTATTTGTTATTTTATATCGGTTTGTTGTTTATTGTTTATATAATCTTTCCTACTTATAAAGTTGGTAGTTGGTGGTGAATGCATGACCTTGTGCAGTCTCCTAACTAATGTCCATCCTCTTGTGTTTCAAAATTCGAAATGTTGTCTCACTTTAAATCTGGCAAAGGAACTATTATGTTCGTTTAAGATTTTCCAACACATGTCACTTGCAAATCTGTCATTGTATTTTCAGAAGCACATGGTCTAGATTTCTAACAAATTCTGTAATTTGGAACAAAATATAACTGCATATACCAAAAGGAAGTGCACATAAATATGTGTTTTGTGTGATTCATAACACAGAGCTAAAGGCAAAACATTTCGTCTCTCCTTGGCTTAGTGATCTGGGTAGCACAAAGACTACTGCACTGGAAATGCTGGGATTCAAATAGGTGACAATCCAGGTCGAGAAACAGGAAATGCATGCATCTACCATAGAAATTCAGAGCAGATCTAGATAAATTCGTGGAGGTTAATTAATTTGACCCTAGTGTTGTTCGGATTAAGAGTGAGAAAATATAACAATATATATGGGCACTGTCTAGGACATGATAATCCA